CACTTTTCAGACCAGCTTTTCTTTTTTAGAGTGCTATTGTGATCTTAGTCTCATGCTTCTTTCTATGTATACACTTATGTTTAACAATTTTCATTCTGAACTTTTGTTTTGTTTTAACAAATGAATGAAAGACATGCCAAAAATGTTCAGCTTTACAGCATGCAAGAATGAAACCCTCTTTCTATGCACACAGTATGTATAATTTAAAAACTGCTGTTTCAGAGTCCTGTGCCTTGCAATTTGAACAGCAGACAATTTTTACAGTTTAAGCTCCATTCTGATTCTGTTGGATGCTCAGTTATGAGTAGGCTGCTTTAAAAGCTAGATATTCACAGGAAAAGGAAGGGCCAGAACTAACTTACTCCCTACAGGACTAGCAAAGTTCCATTGATTTTTCCATTCCCTTATTGACTGGATAATGCTTCCCTGCCTCTTTACTTTTAGGTTATACTGCACAAGACATGGTCTCTCATACATTAATTACAGATCTTATATAACTGTTCACATACAAAAGACCTCTGTGTTTAATTCTAGGCTGAGAACAGACTCAGCCATCAGATCTACCCTCTTTACTTCCCCCATCTTCATTCCTTTTTGGAAATTACTTGTAATGTCATTAATAGGAAACTGTCATTATACCATACCCTAATCTCTCATTTTATGGGCAGAGCTCTCTGTGGCTCAATTAATGAAAAACATTCCTCCATCAAGTGGATGCCATTGCCTACAATACTTTGAAGGCCAGTTACAGCATCATTAGTGGCATATGTGTATGAAATTATGTAAATTGACCTCCTCCAGGTGGGTCATTTTTTGTGGGGTGCCTGCCCCATATGCATCTGATCTGGGCTAGAATCCCTTAGTATTCATAAAACTGGCAATGAGTAAAACTCCTCAGTATATGAATTTCCATTTAACAAAATTTAATTCCTTTCAATCTGTTTCACCGTGCTTGTTCCTCTGGAATGCAAATGTGCCCTGGACAAGCGAAATGCGAGAAATTCCTAAGGGGTTATCACTTGCGTCTCCTCTATATTTCCAGCATGGAGAAAGAAAAGGAAACCTTCCTTTTTGTGTAGAAGAAAAATCTGCTTTAACTCACCCATCAGCTGTTTCCAGTGTATGAATATGACCTTGCCTGGAGTTACAATACACCTTCTCCACATACTATGAAAATGGATAAAAATAGTTCCACAAAATTCTTGGCTTTAGAAAATTGACATACTTATTTTTTTCCAGACAGGTTTCTGATTATTTTTGTGAAACTCTGCTTTGTAGGATTAAAACACAAAATAATTTTTTTATAAATTTATAACCTGTATATTAACTAGGTCTTAATAATTGGCCTATAGTCCATTTGCTGACATTCTTGATTCCGTGTAACCCTCTGAGGCTCTTTGTTTAGGAAACATTTCTGTAAAGCATTTCAGGACATTTCAACAGATGATTAAGAGATGCACAACATTTTGAAAAACAATATTATGATTGTTTCCCTGAGCAGCCTGATCCACTCTGAAGAGAAGTGCTTGATTGGAGGTAACCTTTGCAGCAGACAAATGCCATGCTGTCCCTATGAAAAACTAGTCCAAATCCAAATCAAAAAACTCCAGCAAAAAATAATTATAAATTCACATGCACTCAGTGGCAGGCACTTGATAGCATATGGCACTTAAATATGCCAAAGATTCCTTAGAGCATCTGCCATCACTTAGCAGTTCCTACTTGCCAAACTGCTTCTGCTTGTGACATCCCTCAGGGATCAAGCTCCTATTCATGCCCTGTGCAAGCCCTGAGCTGGACTTTTGCTGCAATTTTTCCTTTCCATAGGCAAGGGACACCCCAACTGCACGAGCTCAGGTCCTCCATGTCTTTTGTGATAAGACAGCATCTTCCTTTGCATGGTCTGTGCCATCAGGTACATTACAAGGGATCCACCTGCACGTTTATAGGCTTTCTTCAGACATTTCTAAACATGATATAACAAGAATTTTGCAGGTTTATTCTTCCCATTTTAATGTCATTGTACTTTTATGTCATTTTCTAAACCTTAGGTTATAAAATTATGTCTTGACCTAAATATCTGTGCTTGTCAAACCTGTGACTTTGGTGAAGAAAGAAAAGGCCCATACACTTGTACTGCTGAAATATTTTGTGAGGCAAGGCTTGTACAAAAATAGCATATTTTTCTTTAGCTAACTGATATATTTGGAAAAAACCCACCAAAGTTTACAGTCCTTTCTGAGCCATACTTCAGATTTGAAATAAAAGCAGCAATCCTGAAAGACCTAATTTCCAGCAAATCAAGCTTGTGCTTTTTCCAAATTTGTCCAATATATTTAATCAATGTCCTTATTAGCTACCAACAAGACAATGTCTGACACAGACTTGGGATTTTGCAGGTTTTGATCTGAAGTGTTTACCTTTGGTTAAAGCACACACAGTGTAGGATGTCCCTGGGACTTCTCACACAGGAAGATTTGGGTGCTATTGCTCATTCTTTCTGACACAGAAGTGATGGAGTGCTACATCATGCCTTTAGTCCTGCACAGGAATCCCCATCAAAAGCTGGGGAGAGCTTGCATAAATACTGCTGGCAGGAAATGGCAACAGTGATTCATCTTCCTAATAGTGTGCTGTGAGGTTGTGCAACTCATGGCCAGGAGTGCTATGTCCAGTACAGAGATTCAGGAAATTGTTGTTTCATTTGTTTTTTTGTTGTTGTTGGGTTTTTTTGTTTGTTTGTTTGGTTTTTTTTTTTTGGTTGGTTGGTTGGTTGGTTGGTTTGGTTTTGGTTTGGTTTTTGGTTTTTTGTTCTTTAATTATTGCATAGCCCACAACTTCCTGCTAAGCTTATGCTCATACAGTCCTGGGACTCTTTGTCTGTTCTGTTGCCATCAGGTCTCCTAAAGTCAATAAATGCCCTCAGGTCATAATTCTATGCAAAAGCAAAGTCATCAGCTCTGGTGTGAAAATTTGTACAGAATAGGTTTAATAGGACATCATCTTTTATAGCTATTGCTTTAAATTACCTAGCTGCCAAAAGCAGATATATATGAGAAATTGATGGATATATAACGTCATTCTTGATTAAATCATTGTTGTAAGTAAAATGGAAATGAACTATTAAGCCAATAACATTTCCTTTCATTAGTTTGAAAAGACCAAGGACAGAGACATTACACAAAAATGACAAGAGCCAAGAATATTGCACCTTACTATGGTGCAATTACCTTGTAGCTACAGCTGGGAATTCTGACATCAGCTGACTGACCTAAAATTTACAAAATAAGGAAGGATGCAATCTATGACTCTTACAGGGATTTGCAGACTGACTGCAGTACTCTAGAGGTCTCAAAACCAAACCATAGGGTTGGATCTTCCTTTTTTTAGACCCTCCAGGAGCAGAAAGCAGTTGGTTTTGATGACATTTTTAAGTAAGACAAATTCCTACATAGGATGCTGAGCATTACTGTCTTAGTTGCATCAGAATGATGACCCAAGTCAGTGGAAAGATGGAATCAAAGAAATATACCACAATTAGCTGTCAGTATGCAGAAAGGATTTACACTTTTGTCTGAATACTTTGACTCTTGTAGGGGAAAAAAGGAAGTCAAAGCCACAAGCCAAGTATCAAACCCTAGACTGAGATACATTAAAAAACTTCTTTTAATGCACAGCTGCTAAAGCTGCCCACTCACTCATTTTTGCTCAAGTGATCACTATGGCATAAGTCAGGCAGTATTTTTCTGCATAGCTTGTTAAACATGCCAATTTCACAGGCTGGTTTTGGAAAAGGTTTCTGCTCTTGTTGCTTGGTTTAGCAGATGCTGGCTTGCAGTTCTGCACTCACAGTATAGAGAATTAAGGAGACAGAAGGATCTTCAGAAAGGAATATGGCAATAGTCCAGTGTAAGCCCAGCTGCATCCAAAAGGCATTCCCATCAAGGACTGTTATCCATTTGTCAAATCAACTTGACATTATCTTCTGATTGGAAAAATAATTAGCCTAGTCTGCATTTAAGGAATAGGATTACCTGCTTCTCAAAATATGATGAAGATGGAGGCAAGCAGGTAAGAGTGCAAAGCAGATCAGTGTGATAAGATACAAAGGTTTCAGAAGCACACTGGTTTGTATGTTATAAACTGCTTAAGTGCAAAGGAAAATGATCACAACCAAAACTGTATGCCCTTCAAAACTTCACATCTCCAGCTGGCACAGCTAGCAGATATGTCAGAGAAGCACTAATAAGCACAGAGAAAACTCTAGGGGAAATCTTTCTGTTCTCCATCTGTCATGGAGTAAATAGGTCTTATTGATTATCTACCACTTGATTTATACTAAATGATTTCAAGCATTTCCCATTTATAATTTTCAAAAACAAGAATAAATAAATTTTGATTTATGGGAATTACACAAGAAGAGGTGAATTTTTGTCCAGTCAGCAGCACTCAGCTGTACCACAGATATTAAGAAAACTAATAGAGTGTTTTTGCTTTAAAATAGTAGCAGCCTGAGTTTTGAGGTTTTGGGTGGTGGTCTGAATAACACAAGAGGAAGAGCAAAAAAGCTTCAGTGTTGGCTGTAGTTGTGTTTTTACTGTTTCTAATACTGGGTCACAGAAGATACAAAGGTTTTACAGCCCCACTATAAAACAGCTCTTTATCTTTTCTCCACTAATTCCGTGGTGTCACATTTAACAAAACTAGGAAACTGAAGATAATATGGATGTTTGCAGATTAGCTGTCAGGTAATAAATAACACTAATTTCACATACCTACAAATGTAAAGGCACCTTATCACTGTTTAAGTTTCTCACTCTTTGTAATGCCTGCCAACATTTTAACCCAGGCAAATTACAGTATTGTTTTTGCTGTTTTTTCACTGGGATAAAATACACAGTCATAATATCCTTTTATCAGATTTCATGGTATAAAAGGGCTTTGGTGCTTAATTCAAGCTGTATGTTGCTGAGGCAATTCCAGAGTTCCTGTTTTGGAAGATGCATTTGTCTTACCTTTTAGTTTTCTTGTCTTTTCAGAGTGCTCTAAGTACCACTTGCCCGAGAAGATGCAGTTGTGACCCTGCCCAGTCAGTGCAATGCTACAGGGCTACAGAGATCCCCAGAGAAATTCCTTTTACCACCAAGAGACTCTACATCAGCCACAGCAAAATTAAGCAACTCCAGGTAAGAAGACCCAGAAAAAGTACTTTTTGTAGTGCACCATAACTGAAAGTTGGACTTCCCAGATGGTGGTGGCATCTAGTGAGGAGAGAATCTTATTCCATGTTTTAAAAACTGATGAAGTGCTGCCAGATCTGGTTTTATTTTTACTTACTCTTTAAGGATATGTAAATATATTCCTGTAGTGTTTTCATGTTCCTGCAGTCTCCAAGCACTAGTTCATGCTGTCAAAATTATATTCTGTATGAAAATCAAAAAAATAGTATTTTACAACTAGCAGCCAAGGGTTGACTTGTTTTATATGTGGTCAAATAACCATTGACTTTCAGAGTAATTTTTCAACCTGTTAAAAGCTTTTCCTATTTTTGATCCAATATAATACTTTTTCACAGTAAAATGAAAGGGTTTATGTCATTAGAATAATTTCCCTAATGAATGAAATTGAAGCTCTTTTTCGCCTCTCGAGCTGCAAGTGTCAGGTACAACTGCTATTAGAAATGGCAGGGGAAGTAAGTTTGAGTCTAGGGCACAGAATGAGATGTTTCTAAAAGCAAGGCCAGGCCTATCTAATAATCCACATAAATGAGACCAGATTCTAACCAAAGCTGCCAGCTCTTTGTGCTATTGAAAAAGTTTATTCTGGGTTTCTTGAGGCACCACTGGTTCGCTTTGTTAAAGGCATCAGCTTATGCTCATCTTGCACTGCACTCTGGAATGGTGCTTCTTTGTTTCCTACCCTGGAATAATCTTTATTTATAAATCTTTATTTAATAAATTCACCTTGTATAGGCAGACACAAGGGAAATATAACCACCTGTATTACACTTGATTGTTGTGCATCAATTTGCTGCAAATAATAAGAAATGTGCAATTCAAATGAGATACATTTTCTCTTACAAAGAATTTAGCTGCTCTGAAATGCATCTTTGATTTTGCTCAGGACTAAGTGAAATAGGCTGGAAGGCAGCTTAGAGCAGCATCTAGAATGCCTGTTTTCCACTGAGAAATAGTGATTGTACAGTTTTCCTCTGAGAAAGTTTACTCTTTTAGCTGCTACTAATATCTCTGGTTTTCTTGTTTTATCTCACACACCCACAAGAGTCAAACATTGGTGTGATTTAGCTATACTCGGGGTAAACAAAAGGTTTGTCAAATGAATTCTGTATTAGGAAATACATTTTCTGTGCAAACTCTTCTCTCCTCCTCCCCATTATTTTCTTTCCAAGATAAGTAAGATGAGCCATTTTCCATTTCTTAGGCTAGTTGTTCATACCTGTCAGCAAGTCCTCAGTTACAAGCGAAGTAGCCTTAGGTTCTGACTAGAGCAAAATACAGGTGTCATGAAGCATTTAAATGTTGGATATAAGTGAATTAAGTGGTGGAATAAACATTTTATGATCGATCAAAACAAATGGTGTGTGAAAACATCTCAGAAGAGAGTTTTTTCACATTATAAATTAATTCCACTGGCTATGAGTCCGCCTTACTGCTACTACTGACTTTGCACTGAAAGGAAAGAAGTCCTTCTACACTGTATCCTTGTAGTTATGTAAGCTGTTTCCATGAGATTATACTGGGTCTTTGGATATATTTTTTTCTTTTTTTCCCCCATGCAACAAATTATACTTCTGAGGTCTTGACATCATAAATACCTATGCTTAATTTTACACAGCTGAGCAATTCCACTGGCACATATTATAGTGCTTAGGGAAATATTTCTGCTTGTAAAGTACGTGTCTGCAAGCACTGAAATAACTCTGTAGGATTTTAGAGTTTTGGTGTAGGATTTTTGTCCATTTGGCAGGTTTGATTTGGGTGTTTTTATTTGTTTGGTTTTTAAAATTCCTTTATTTACCTACTCATGGAGAAAATAACATACTTTCCTGAAGAAGTTGAATGGAAGACCTGAGTTCCCACAGCTGACCTCCAAGAGACTTTTATATGCAAGCATTCACAAATATTACAGTTTGGCAATTAGGTGCCTCAGAAGAATTTAAAAATATTATTTCAATTACTTCTGCACCTTAATTTGCATTGATTATTATTAAAATTGTGAAGAAATAATATTAAAAAAAAAGAATATATGTTTATATCCTAAATCCAGTATGTATAAAGATAAGAAAAAATAGTAAATTTTTTTTTTACCCTGATTAATTTTGTATTTATTCTGGCAGGGCTGATCAGCATTAAAAACAGTGTCTGGCATTTTTGCTTTTGGTAATTTTACAACCTCGGGTTTGTTATAAAAAGGCTTTAGAATAACAAAACTAGATTAATTTTAGCATCTTTTTTCAATATTTTCTGCTTCCTCCTTGACTTGAAGATCAACTATAACCTTTTTATTCTAAATTTATAATTTAATTTGTATCTAGCTACATTAATAAGTGCTAAATATCTGCTAAAAGAAAATCATCTACCTTGCCTCCAGCATAGGGAACTGTTTTAAAAAAACTGCTTATAACATATCTCAGGTCACAGCAACTTTAAAAACCAAAAAAAAAAAAAAAAAAAATGTAATTAAACAAGGAAATTCCTTAAAACATTTGTATTAAATAACAGCACATTAGATCAACTTTCAGGAGATCAGTGTTTTAAAATATAAAGCTATAATAGTATCATTTTACAGGCAATCCAGTTAGAAAATAAAACACTGCTTCCTAGCAAAAAAAGATTTGGTGGGCTTTCAAATATGTTTTGATTTGTATTAGAAAGACTAGGTGGTTTATAAAAGCACGGATAAATATTTAAGTCTCAAAACAGTATGGTTACAAAGCTTAGCAATGCATACCAAATAGGTGGAAAATAGAAATTATAATAATCCACATTAAGAAGCCTAACATAATTACAGAATAAATGTCTGTACATTGACCTTCATGTAGCTCTCTGTCACTCAGTAAGATGAAAATTAAGTCTCTCAGAGACATACAGAAATCAACTGAGGAAAAGCTGAAAACATTGCTTTTGTATTTTCTAAGAGAAAATGTGTTGAATTGTGAAGGTTCATAATTGTTTCAATTACCATAAGATGGTTTTATAATTACATGTGATTATGTTTTTGTGCTCTTGACCAATGTAGCTCATTCCTATGTATAAGATCACCTTCCTAATCATTACCAAAACTTCAGCATCAGCAGTTCTGATATTGCTATATACTTATATATTCACAAAACACTACATTATGGAAAAATAAAGTAATATAATTTGGACAACTTTGTTGGTTACTGTTGAAAATATAAGGTTTTTAATGGAGGTACATTCCCTCATTGAATTCAAATATAATTGATGGAGAAACCTGCTTCAATAGAGGTTCCATATCTATACTTTCTCAGTAATTGCATCAAAATTTGCAATTCAGAAATTGCTTTGCAAGACAGAATCAAGTTAATCAGAAAGATAAACTAAGGATACCACAGCAAAATTAAATCTGACTCGTCTTTCACAGCTGTGCAGGCTTTAATTTTAAAATTTTAACAGAAGTTAAAATGCAGAGTTTGTAGCTGAGATGAAGAGATACAGCCCAAAAATATGCAAGGGTTGGACAAAACAGTCACCTTTATGAGCTGATTTCACTTGACACAAGTATGATAGTCAAATGTATCCAACCAGGATTATGGAACAAAATTACTACGCCTGTACTGCAAAAGGACTTGTACTGTCCTCCATGCAGATTCCTGACTGGGATGAGGGGTTATGCTGTAGAACAGGCTGTATAGCTTCCCCCACTGAAAGTAAAATGTGCTGGGAGCTACCAAGCCCTGTGGGAAATAGCAGGAAGAATCTACTGTCACTTTAGCCTCTCTAACTGGTGTGGTATGCCTGAGACCTGTAGGGAGATGTCATTGGACATGGAAAGGGAAAACAGATAAGGACACTCTTTCCCACCACTCCTATGCAGAACACCTGCTCATGTTGCTTTTTGGGGGGGATTCCCATATGAATGATTTTTTAAGGCTCAGTCACAGAGGTGAAGGGGAAGCGTATCTGCTAATTTCAGAAAACCAATGTTTTAGCACCTGGTGTGCTTGGAGAACTCCCTGTCTCACCCTCATTGCATACTTCTATCTCAGCTTAGAGAGCGCTGCCAGATTCACTCAGGTTTGCTGCTTAACGTGAGACACAAGATGGCAAGCTTTGTAAACAAGAACCTTCCAACAGAGCAGAAAAAAAATGAAACAACTGTGTGCCTCTCGATATTACAGTTACAGTCAGCATCTAAATATCATTTACCACTGCAAAGTATCTGTTTATTACCAACTAATAGAAACTAAGTTTCTGTGAAAACACTCTGTTCCACAGAGGTGATTTTTCAGGCCAGGCTGATCTGACACTTTTGGTTTGATTGTATTAATATGTGACGTTTTTATTTTTACAGAAAAAGGTAGTGGGGGAGAGAAAAGTGTTGAATTTTAGTTTTCTCACAAAACAGTACCAAGAGGTAAAGATATCCATGGGTACTCCCTCTGGGGAATACATTCTGCAGTGACAGTACTGTTGATATATGGAAATGGCTGTATCATGAACTCAAAAGTGCTCTAGCAAGTACCATTGAGCACAATTTAACATTAAAGACTATCCACTCTCTGCAAAGATTTCTGCCACTGATGATGTCAGCTTTCCATTTTATATATGCTATCCACCAGGAGGAAATAAAATGAATATTCCTTCTTCAAATGTATGTTTTTGCTCAAAACCTGACATAGTATAGACTTAAACCACAAAATTCTGGAAATGTAAATAAATACTGGCAAACCACAGGTATCTATAGTAATACCTCTACTGTGACCACTTATTTTAGTTTCACATTCTAAATATATTGTTTTTCAGCATATACTAGCAATTGTCCAAACATCCAGAAGGAGTAACCCGTGAGGATATCTATTAATGTACTATCATATTAATTTTTTTTTCTCTTTAAGTTTACTGACTTCAGGAGAATGTCAGTCCTTGAAGAGCTGGTCCTATCATGCAGTGGCACAGAATCAATAGAAAACAACACTTTCAAAGCTCTGAGCACCTTGAAGTCCCTGGAACTCTGCAAAAATCAGCTAAAGCAAATACCCACCTTTCTCCCATCTGGCCTTGAAATTTTACGACTTGCTGATAACTCCATCAATGCTCTGCATGCATCTGATTTTGCAGGTTTGATGAAACTAAGGGTGCTCGATCTTCGGAACAACTTGATTGCAACTCTGCCTCCAAGTGCATTTTCTTCTCTTTACAATTTACAGAGTCTGATCCTAGATGGCAACAACATGGAATCTGTGTCTGCACCACTTAGGCTTCCTAGGCTGAAGTATCTGAGCATGGCTGATAATAAACTGAATTTGTTCCCAACCAACTTCTTTGCATCTTTCCAAAGTCTACATTTTCTCAGTTTAAGTGGTAACTTTCTGACAAAAGTGCCTCTAGACCTACCTAAATCCCTGCTGTCACTAAAATTAGAGAAAAACCAACTTAAAATGGTGAGACTTCGAGATGTGAAACACCTAGAAAATCTGTCTGAGTTCCTTCTGTCAGAAAATCAGCTGACATCAATAGACGGTGCCCAGCTTCTTCCTAACTTAACAACACTGGAGCTCTCTAAGAACCAGCTCCACACTGTGCCCCTCAGGCTGCCCGGCAGGCTGCAGAAACTCGACTGCAGCAATAACCTGATCCAAAGGGTGACAGCACAGGACTTTCAAGGACTCCAAGACCTGAAGCACTTGTTTCTTGACAACAACGCTGTCAGCACGTTCGAGGCGGGAGCTCTCCAGCAGTGTGCGCAGCTTTCCAATCTGGCACTGGAACAGAATCTCCTCAGTTCTATTCCGCTGAGGCAAGTGAATCTCAGGACAGCTGGTTCCAAGGTGTCATCTCTCCTTCCTTGCATTATGAGAATGAGAGCCAAAAATTGGTATTCAGACCCAGTCACGGTAGAAGTCTGTCCATACCATAAACCCACTGCCATAACCAGCACTAATTAGCACTCCTGTTAGCAGTCTCAGAGTAGAGCTGCTTTCATTACATCTGTGGCCCCCAATGAATCTGCTCATTTTGCATCTCTCCCTGCCAGTGAGACCACTTTATTTAATTGGCACACCAATAAGAAGAATCTGCTAGGAGAATGCAACAGACTTACTACCAAGGTTATACTGCTACTTAGATTTACCTTCCCCCACAAAAGAAAAATAATTGAGCTTTTGATATAAAAGATAGATAGCAATTTTAAAGCTGATGTTTCTACCAAGCCACACCAAGTCTATCATTATTAAAATATTAAGATTTTGGGAGCTGAACCTGATTAAAAAAAAAAAAAAAAGTGCTTTTTCAGTGATATTGGCATTCCCAGCTTCATTATATTCACACTTTATAAAGTATTTGGAATGCATATAAAGTCTCCAGCTTCAGGCTATAAGAAAAATTCCAGTCAACAGAAGAAACATCCCTTGGGCACACTGTGTTCATTAATGCTCTGCTTAGAGGATCTCTTACATTCATCTGAGTGTTGGAACTGGCCATTATCAGAGATGGCATATTAAGTCAAATGGAGGCTGCTGTGATATAAAGTGGCAATTTTATTATTAGAAAAGAATATGTCATAAAAATAGTGAAGTAATTCCATTAACATCAACTTCATTAACAAAACTGGACTGTTAAACTTTATTTTTATGGCTTGTAGACAGGTTTAACTAGCCTAAATAAATAACACAGTAAAATTTCAATTAATTTAGTACCATGTCCTTTAGCATTTGAATCTATTTGGCAACGGCTTTATAATCAGAAACTGATTTAGTGGTGTATAAATATTTTATTTCAGTCTAGCTCGACAGGAATGTTTAATGCTTTGTAGTTACTTAGTATTGTCTAATCCATCCTATTTTACAACCTTCATAGTCAAGAGAATTAACAGGAAGGAGTTCTCTACTAGCCTTTAAACAGTACAACTTTTAAGGAGATATTGGGGACCTTTCATTCCAACAGTAAATACAGATTTCCAGGGAGGGCTGTAAACATAAAAGAGGTGAAAAAAATGACAAGAAATAAAACTTATGCACTTAATTTAATTGTCTGGTGATGACCAGGTACTCATGGATATACAGAAAAATAAATTATTACTTTTGACTTCTCTCTGAGAACTCTGCCAGGTGTAAAAGGTTAAAAGATATGACTGATGTGTTAAAGTGAATAGGTCTTAGCAGATTTATGGCAGAAATGAGATGAAAGAAAACTGCTTTCCCTCCTTTCCTGAAAAGAAAATAATCCACAAGTCCAAGTATTTTCAGGACTTTTAGAGAAGACTTGTACTTCTCACATCCTTGTACTTTTCACATCCTTCAGGGTGTGGTGAAAATGCAAGGAAGAATCTGATGATATTCCTTAGAGTGGCAGTAGCACAGTGTGGCTGCCATGGTCAGCTCCCAGGTGAGCATGGCTCCTCTTCCAGCTGCAGGGCACTCAGTCATGTACTCAGTGGTGTTATTTTCTCTAGATCAACACAGCCTGAAGTCAAACAATATAGCCTTAAAGTTTAAGTCTAACATTAGTACAATAAGACTCTTCACAGGTTTAAGGACTTGCTGGTCAGGCTTTGGACTGTAATCAGTCTGGATAAACCTCTTGGGTGATTTTCCACTGCCTTTGACATCAGTGGCACTAGGGTTTTACTCCAGAGTACCCTTCTGACGTTACAATGTCATATTGGGCAATTGTCTGCAGTTAAGTTTCAAAACTGATTTACTGCAGTCACAAGCATTTAGTAAGGTCAGATTTTGTGAAGTGAATCACCGTATCAATATGTGAAATTCTCATCTCCCCAGGAAAAACAGCACAATACAAAACTGCCCTACTTTTGAAATAGTAACATTGAACTTGTCAAGTTTTCACAAATCTGGAAACCATCTTTCAGCTTAAGAGGTTCAAACTCGGCTTCACAAAAATAGTGAGTGAGGGTCACCCATAAGTTTACCAGCTGTAGTATACTGCTGTTCTAAATAGATCTTGCTAATATGATTATCATTTCCCTAGGAGGTTCAGTCAAGTTTCCTTAAATTCTGTAACCTTGACTCTTAATTTCATCACCTTGCATACTACCATAGTAAGGTGATTTTTAAGTTACTTTCAAATTAATTTTATTAAAGATATTCCATGCCTATGCTTTTCTGTTAAACACTTGTCACTAACTATATCAGAGGGAAATTAAAAGATCATAAATGAGCAAGACTTTTTAAATTAAGGTCTTTTCATATAAATTTGTAATGTATATGAAAATAAGAATTATACTGACCTGCCCAGTATCAGAGATTATCAGCTTTTTCTCTTCTTCTAAATGTAACCACTTCTAATTCTCAAAAGTACTATTTTAAAAGCATTTATATTTTCTCTGTTGTTGATTTCTTAAAAGTTTATCATCAGATGCATTACTGCTGTGATGATTAATGTTAGAGTCTTTTGGAAGCAGGAGAACAAAATGGAAAAAATATAATTCTTTACAAACTAAGAAATGTTTTTAAACAAATCATATATAAAAGTAGTGGAAGGAGCAGTGTCGCCACAATTGTCTAAGCTTTTGATCTTTCATTGTGCTATAGTTTGGTCATTGGCATTGAAGAGTACAAAAAGCATTTTTAAACTTGACAATTTAAATTAAACAGCTGATTTTCTTCATAATACAGCACAAGACTGCTGTTCAGTTCAGCTGCATGAACAGTCAGTACAGGCCAGAACTGCAGTAGTTTGGGAAAACATTTCAATGCTGTACACAGAGTACACCTGTAACACAAAAACAAAGAACAAACAAACAACCCCAAACCCAATATGAACATCTGTTTTTGCAGAAGATTGCAATTTTTTTAGTGATAGCTTTATTTTAGTACATCAAATGTGCCTGGACAAATACCCACCACCAAATACCACTTACCAGAAACAGTATGATGAATATAACACCTTTCTATTGTTTTATTTTTGTTCAGACTTCCAGAAACCCTTGCTAGGTTGGATCTAAAAGGAAATGACATAGAAGATGTTGGAGAACAAGAGCTAAAGGACTTGAAACAGCTTCAGGTTTTAAATTTACGGAATAACAAGATATCTCTCTTGGATCGCAAAGTCTTGGAGTATTTACCTCGTCTCCGTCATCTGTATTTAGATGGGAACCCTTGGAACTGCACCTGTGACCTTCTCAGAACCAGAAGAGCACTGGTGGCCAAAGGGACGGATGTCCGGGGAGGGCAGTGTGCAGCGCCGGCACAAAGCCGAGGAGAAAGCTGGATGTCTTCCAAAAAGATTCTGCAGCAGTGCGAAGACAATCTGTCTTCCATGGAAAGAGGCAGAGAGGACAGAAAGAAAATGAAACCAGACGAGGCCTCCAGTGTTGGAGTGAACACAGATGATGATTACTACGATTATGAATTAGATTAATGTCACAGTTTATCTTTAGTGAACTTTAAAGTTGTCTAGAGCTGCCCAGTGCCACCAGTGTCTCTACTGACAAGCAGTCTTCTCATCTGTCATTAGCTTTTCCTGCTCTAGTTGTACTACAAGAATTAATAGCCAGTGACAGAAGGGCTACAGTAAGGCTGTCATTGTGAACTGAATATTGTAAAAAAACCCCAACATTTGTTTTTCTATACCATTAGTACTATGTAGTTTGAGGGAAGCAAGAATACGATTACTATGTCTTAGAAAAGCAGTCTGTAACTCTTTATACCTTTTTATAGTAGAACACTTCTCACAGTTGCATAAAATCCCCCCAAATAAAATTCTGCAATACCACAAGACACTATTACTAGGAGTCTCACATTCAACACATTTAAACTCATGGGTCTCCAAGTTGACATGGAGAGTTACACTGATGTGAGCAATGTTTTGGGATTTTTCAGAAATTCTTGCTTTTGAAAAATTGATTTCAGTTTTCCTGAAACATTTCCATTTTTTATTTATTTTAGACTATTTTAAATGACATTAGACTAAATTAATTGAACTGCAGACAAAGCACAGAAGGCTTATCTTCATCACAGCAAGTGAAATAAACAGAAGAATCAGTGTTCTGGTTAATGAGATTTAATAGTAGTTCTGAAGTTAATTAACAGCGAGGAATGAAAACACTGAGGTCAAGTTGATCTGACTCTGTTGCTGTAAACAAAAGAAGGGAGATTCTCAGGAAATATACCCTGGAAATTATTAGGATAAGATGAAGTGAGGTGAAGCTTTAACAGTTTATTTTGGTATCTGGATAGCTAATTTGCTACAATATAGCTCAAGAAACCATGTGCATACTTTTAGGTTAGGTATACTTAATATGCAAGTATACACACTGCAAGTGTCCCCCTTCACTGGCCAGAACTTTCCAGACTTTTGTGCACATACACACAAAAAAATTACTAAATGCTATATAATTAATGCATTAACTCTATATGTACAAATTTTATCAAGCAGTTCCCAAAGTGCTTGAAAACTAAACAAAACTGGATTAGCGAGACCACTAAAACCAGTGACTTAGAAATAATCACTTGTTAGTTTATGATCTCAGGTGACAACTGATGAGTAATTACATTAGCAAATTACTTTTCAAAGCAAACAGTTTCTATTCTTTTTTATCTCCCATTGACATTCAGTAACTGAGTAATCATTCACCTCCATGGAGGCTGATTTGTCAGGTGTCAGAGTGCAGCTATTTGGTTATGTCTCCTATGCAAATGCGATTGACATGTGTGTTTCTTAGATCCCCCAACACATTAAGCTATGCAATTGGAATAGAGAGACCGGAGCTCATTTTTCTTTATGTTCCCTTATCATCAGACTCTGCAGAGGGATCTGCACAGGTTGGATCAATGGACTAAGGCCAACTATGTGAGATTGAACAAGGCCAAGAGGCATGCCCTGCCCTTGGGTGACGACAGCCCCCTGCAGCACTACTGGAGCAGAGGGGCTGGAAAGCTGCCCAGCAGAAAAGGATCTGGGGCTGCTGGTTAACAGCTGGCTGGGCAGGAGCCAGTGTGTGCCCAGGTGGCCAAGAAGGCTGATGGCATCTGGTCTGTGTGAGCAATAGAGTGGCCAGCAGGACCAGGGCAGTGAGTGTCCCTCTGTATATGGCACTGGTGAGGCTGTGCTCACTTTTGGGCCCCTCACTACATGAAACACATTGAGGTGCTAGTGCCTGTCTGGAGAAGGGAAATGGAGCTGGTGAAGGGCCTAGAGCCTGGGTCCTGTGAGGAAAAGCTGTGGTTCTTTAGGCTGGAGGAGGCTCCAGGAGGACCTGATGGCTCTCACAACTCCCTAATAGGAGGAAGTAGCAAGATTAGGGTCAGTCTCAGGAAACAAGTGAAAGGACCAGAGATGACCTCAAGCTGCACCAGGGAGGTTTAAGTTGGTTATTATGAAATTTTTTTTCATGGAAAGCATTGTCAAGCATTAGCACAGACTTTCCAGGGAAGTGGTGGAATCACCACCCTGGATATGTTCAAAAGATGTGGATGTGGCACTTAAGAACATGGTTAAACAGAGGACTTAGCAGTACTGGGTTAACAGTGGGAATTGATCTTGCAGATCTTTTCCAACCTTAATGATTCTATAGCTCTATGGTGAGTCACACAAACTTTTGGTACCTAAGGATTTAGGTATTCATGAAACAGCACAAGCCTTCCCTGCAGTTTGACTGTGTTATTTTTGCTGGCTAAGCCTGGTCTGTATTAGAGGCCAGGAAAGTAGCTATTTTCTGAGTAAGAGAAATATTTCCGTGATACAAAATTCTTATTTCCGTTTGATATTGGCAGATTCTTTTAACAGAGCGCTTTAAACATCTCCACGCCATCTCTGCCCACCTATCTGTCTGACAGCATCGGGCTGGCACTAGCTCTCACTTCACATTTCACCTGCAGCAGCGTTTCCATCTTCGGACCCGTGGGTCCTTACAGGCCAAGGCAGCAAAAGCCTGGGAGCCGCGGCTTTAGTGGACGACTGCAAATCGGGGTGCGGGGTTATTTTTGGTTATAGATTATAGGTTATATTGGCAGCGCGCTCTGAGGGTGAAACCTGCGTTTCAGTAAAGACACCCCTGAGGCCCGGCTGCTTCTGTGGCGTTCAGACGCCTTCTCCCTCCACCTCGGCTTCACACACCAGCGTGAACGAGGCGCAGCAGGCGCCAGGAAGGGCAAGGGTGGGAAGGGCAGAGAGAGGGTCTGCAGACAAGTCCGTGAAGCAGCGGGGAGGCTGGGCAGCGCCCGGCGGGGGCAGAGCCCGGCTGGGGGCAGAGCCCGGCTGGGGGCAGCTCCCGCCCCGGCCCCGCCCNNGCTCCGCCCCCGCGCCTTCCTTCCCGCCCCCGGCCTTCAGGGCCATGGCCAGCAGCGGCCGCCAGGGGGAGTGGCCCCGCCCCTCTCGCGGGGCCGGCCCACCTCGAGCCGTTCCCAGCCCCGCCTCCCGCCCTCGCCCCGCCCTCCCTTATCTCGCGGCCACGTCATTCGCGCTCCGCGGGCGGAAGTGACGCCATCCCGCCCGGCGGCCAACGGGCGGCTCGCGTGTGGCGGGTTGAGAGGTGAAAGATCAGGCGGGGCGGCGGGAAGATGGCGGCGCTGGCGGTTGCCGGGCGGGGGACGCGGGCTCCGTGAGGGGATGGCGCGGCGGGCGGCGCGCAGCGGCTGAGGCACCCCCGCCGCTCCCCCGCGGGCCCCACGCGCTCCTGTCGGTCGGTCCCATGAGCGGGGCGGGCGGTCTGGCGTGGCGCGCGCTGCACGCGCTGGTGCGCGCTTTGCTCTGCCTGCAGCGCGCGCTGCTCGCGTGCCTGCGCGGCCGCGCGGCCGCCGCCGCCGCCACCTCTTGCGCGCTCCTGGCACCCGCCGCCCGCGCGGCGGGGCGGCGCGCGGGCGGCAGCGGTGGCGCGCGGACGGGCGCGCCCTGCGGAAGCTGCCGGTGCACGTGGGGCTGGTGGTGACCGAGGAGGAGCCGAGCTACGCGGACATGGCCAGCCTGGTCGTGTGGTGCATGGCCGTGGGCATCTCCTACGTCAGCGTCTACGACCATAACGGTGAGCGGCGGCCGGGGTGCCCCAAGTCCCGGTCCCGGGCGGTGCCCGCCCGCCCTGGGAGCGCCTCCTGGCATGGAGCCGGAGGGCCGCGCTGTTGGGGTCTTCCCAAGTCCGTCCAGCCTCTGCTGGCAGCTCCTTTCCCATCCGCTGGAGCTGCTTGGCCGCTGCAGAGCTTCTGTCCCCGGGGAGCTTGGGGAATGGCCCGGTTGCCCTTCTGGCCCAGCTCCTGTGTCGGGATGACCCGGTCCTGCCTGCTTTCCAAAGCCTTGTCCACAGCCTCGGGCTGACAGGAACTGCTGACATCTGAAAGTGTAGGGCAGGACTTTTGGTAGGGAAGAGCTTTAGGCTACCTGCTCTTGTGAGTGCTGTTTATGAGCTGGGGCTGGACCTCCAAAAGCGAATGAATGAAAGTAGCCTTCTTACTTTCAAGTACTCCTGTGTGAAGAAACAGGATGGACAAGTAGTTAAATGTAAGCATGTATGTCCTGTGTGCTGTCTGTATTGTGAAGTTAAATTATGTGATATTTGGTCCTGCTTGGCATTTGAGTTAACTCTGAGCCAGTGCTTCTGGAAGCTCTGGTGTTTTTTCATATCTGCTGTGTGATTTTGTTACTGAGTCTCAGGTGTAAAATCATTGAACTCTGGCTCTTGCAGGTATGTTGATTCCACATCACTGACTATCATAAAGATAAGATCAGAGTTTGGATTTCACATACTGTGAGGAAATCATGGAACAAATCTGACTTCCTCATACCGATCCTTCCCTAGTGGGGAGCTCATACCAGCCATATTCAAGATACTCTTAGTTGAAGCTTTCTGTCCAGCTATTGAGAGATGATCTCTAACCTGTACTGGACAAGCTGTCATCTCAGAAGGGATAACAATACATGACATGGACTGTGTCCTGTTTCTGTCCTGCAGAGGAAAAAAACCATCATCCTGAAGATCTCTGTGCTCTTGCTGTCCGGGATGAGACTGTAGGAGACCAGGGTTTAACTTGTTTTGAGCCACTTCCAATGGCTGTTTAGAGGCGTCGTGCAATTTAGGTGAACTGTAGATTTCTGCCAGGTTAGAGGCACACTTGTCTTCTAGCGCTCTTTCAGGAAGTGTCCAGCAGTGCATCCCACAAAATCTTTTGTTGTCAAGTGTGCAAAAGCATCTAAGGTATGCAGGCCTTTCCTTGAGCATAGACATTTGTGATTTTTAAAAATTTTTTGCTTTATTTTAAACCATCACCATTTATAGTTTTGTTTCATGGCTGATCCTTCCTATGTGATAAAAGACTCGGAAGACTTGACTTTCACTAAATTACTCTAAGATCATTATGAGAAACTGGGCTTAGTACCGGTCATTTAGCAGTTTAAACTGGCCATCTGTGCAGGGATGTTGTTGAACTTTGTTATGTTGTATTTGAGAGGAAGAGCGCTTCCTCATTTGAAAGTCAAAGAATCATATAAAATATTTGTGTAACATCTCAAGCACACAGCAGCACCTTCTCAAAAGTCATTTATATGTTGACAGTTTTTATTCCTAACTTGGAAAACATTCAACCAGGTGAAATGCTGCAGAGCAAGCAGTACCAAGGAAGAGAGTTTCCCTCAAAGCTTAAAGAGAGACGTTTTTATTGTACAGGATCCTCCTAAACTTCAAACCTGAAATAAGCTATGGGCAGTATTGCCTAATATGTATGTGCTTAGCTCCTTTTTAGATTCCAGCACTGTGCTCCACAAATTATATGTATGAGAACTGAACTGAGGAACAGATCAAGCTGAGAATCATGTTTCTTGGTCGTCTTGGTTTTCATCTTGCTTACTGTGCAACAGTGAGGAGGGAGAAGGCACCAGACAATGCTTGGGTAGCCACTGTTGCTGAGCTCCTGTCTCACAGTAAGGAGCCAGAGCTGTAGCAGTGTCTGAAACATCATTTTTTTTGAAAACCTACTACTGCTTCACCAGCATGTGTTGAAATTCAGTCAGATCTAAGACTGACTGTTGGAAGACTGAATATGATGACCAGAAATTATAGTTTTGTCCACTGAAGAGCTGGCATAACCTTGCAGAACAATTGTTACTGCTGGCAGTTAAGAAAAATGAAAATCTTGAATTATTTGCTGCTGTATCCATGTATTTTTTAATTCAATCTAAAGTGATGTATGTTGTTTGCTTTTCTGTGTCATTATGTTATTTTTTGTTTTGTTGCTGGGAATTTTTTCTTTGGTTGTTTTTGTTGTTCTAAGTGCAGGTTATGTGATGAGTGTGGGTTTTAGTTTTTCATTCTAAAGTTAGATGTTAACAGGTTTTGCTGTCACCTCTGAGATCTGAAAATATAGCTATTATCTCATGATTTCAGTATCGAAACATTTTTCAGTAGCTTGTTCTTCTGTTGCTCCTCTGGTGCTAGAATGTGCTAGTTTAATTGCTAGGTTGCTTTCCAGTTTGTTACAGCAAAATCAAAGAAAGCAGAGCAACGAAATAGTTTTAAATCTGTGGCTTTTGCCAAACTTCTAGGGTTGATGAGAATAGCCTGCATTACACATCATGTTCCACACAGGTGTTCAGTGGGCTGTCCAGGATAGCAGCTGCGACTGCTCTCTGCACAGCTGGGCTTTTTAGCCTGACTTCAGCTTCAGTCATTCATACAGCTCTAGTGTATGCTTACTGCTGGTAATAGCACATATGCGGCCTTTCTTGTGGTGCTAAGCTCCTTAGGGTGCCTTGATTGAGCATACAGCATTTCCAGATAGACTTGTCATTAAGTAGGATGTTGCTAAGTGCAGTCCTCAGTGGTGGTGGAGTCTGGAACCCTCCGCGCTAACACTGATAATAGTGAAGGTGAATGAAGTCAGGTACAACTTGCTCTTATCAGTAGCAGAGGGTGACCCTTAATTACAGTGTGCACTTGTTTCCATGCACTCAGATGGTGAGTGGTGCTTTTGGACTGCTGAGCTGCTTCTGGGGGTTTGTGTTCATACAAGTGTACCAACTATTGATTTGTCAAAGTCTCCACTGGTGCTGGCTGTGGTGCAGAAGGAGAATTCATTGTGAGTGCTCTGGATCAGTGTTAGATGTGGTGAGGTATGTGTTAATTTGTTTCTTTTCCTTCACTGCATATCTGCAGTACTTTTGATTGCAAGAGGAAACCTTGTTTACAAACTTGGTCTTCCATGGTTGCCTTCTCCGCAAGAAATAGCGTGTCAGTTTCCTGCAGGAGGATTAAATTCAAAATACGTCCTTAACTGCCTCTTCCATAGGAGGAAAGGGAAGCATGAAGTTCTTTACAGAAGTGCTACATAAGCGGGTTTTTTGTTTATAGTAATGAATTTTTGTATTTTTTTCCAAAATTGCTAAACAGAAGGTTGTTCGTGTATTCTTCAATGTTAAAACAAGTAGCTGCATTCCAGCTCACACTGTTTTGTTGCAGCAGCTGCACCAGTAACTGTAAAGGCAACTTGGCTGGAGTTGTGCAGGGCTCAGAACTGAGACTTTCTCTGTTTCCTCAGCATGTTTGGAGGCCCAGGGTGGTCTGGCTTTACTGCCCTTGGCGTGTGGAAGCCCTTTCTCTCAATCTTCCTTATTGTGCAGCATGATAAAGCCATAATAAATTTAATGCTACCGTGCACACCTGAGTTAAATAATGCAAACTAAAGTTTCAGGCTTTTGATCAAGAATTTTTCTCTTGACTTCTGTATTGCCAGTCATTTCTTGGTTGAAATCCAGCTATTCTTGTCGAGACCTTATCTGAGGAAATACTGCAGCTTTGTTGCAGTCAGAAGGCATTGATAATGCTTTCAGGTAATAGCACTTAAAATACCTTCTGTGGAGCAGAAGCCTTTTACTAGTGCTATATACTTTAACTTTCTTTTGGTAGTTGTTTTGCCATTTGGGAGAGCTTGATGGAATGTTACTTCTGTGAAGCTTTTCTGCTATGGTTTAAGACAAGTCTAGAGTGCTTTTTGGGAGCTTGCTGAATCTTGGTGTTTGGGTACTTTGGACTCCTAGCTAGATGCTTCACGCTGAAGGTTTCGTAAAGCCCATAGTGTGACTGTATGGAGAATTTGGAGTTGTTCATCCTGGATTTAGCTTTCTAGTGAACTGCTTTGCTTCTGACCACTTTTCTCTTAAAAACTCTTTGGAAGGATAGAGTATGCAAAAGAAATTACTTAATTAGCCCCAAAGTAGGCTTCTAGTCTCTTCTAGGTTACTTGGTAGTTTAGCTACTTTGATCAATCCATGAAATCTTCTGGGTGTGCGGTGTGTTCATTTCACTGGGCAAGATAAATATGTTGTGTTTATGTCTCTGGAACACTTGTGAGATACCAATATCGCATGGCATTTGTTGTGGGCTTTCACCCATGTGAAATTTCTCATTCAACAGTTGCGTGTTGGTGTCAAGTTGAGAGGAGTTCTCAGACCACATTTATTAAAAGGGATAACACTAATCTGTAGAAGGTGATCTCCTTAAAGGAATGGAAAATATGAAAGAGGTATCTTTTCTCTGAATTTCTGATGAGCCCCTGTTCTCTTAGTGCAGAATGGTCCTCCAAGAAGAAATGTGGGAGGAGTGGTTCACCTATGAAGTTCTTAGAACTAAGTCAAATTCTTTGTTTGGTTAGCGCTGTCTTAAGTGGCCTTAATCTGACTGAAACTTAAGTGACTTTAGCTACATTCAAACTTGGATTACTTTTTTTCCTCTTGGAAATAAGACTCATGGAATAAAGGAGGTGTTTGTAGCTTTCCATATCCTTTGAGGTCCAGTGTAATGGCCACGCTTTCCTCCGTTATCAACCAGCATGAGGCAACAGGACGTAGGCAAAGGTTGTTCATGTGTTAAAACGGTTTCTTGCATGTGCATTCTTTGAAGTGGTTTGTTATTTGATGTTCTCAAAATGTTAATACCTGATAACAATTACTTGTTATCAAGTTAATTTTGGTTACTGTTTCCTTGTCAGCACTGGAAAGAAGTTGAGAAAGCAAATAACTGAAATGTTGTGGAGACATGTACTCCGCTTTGGTAAGGTGTACCCTTGCAAGGCAGAGCTAACTATTATTCTGTGTTTTACCAGATTCTGCTGCTTTAAAAAGCAGGGAAATTAACAATGTTGAACTTTGAGATGCCATTAAGGCATTAACAGGTGGTGACTGTGGTAGTCTGGTCAGACAAACAAATGGTTGACATCACTTGGTGTTTCTCTGTGCCAGTTTTTCACTTCCAGTTCAAGATTCTTGTCACTTCTACACGTGATGAATTTGCAGCCTCTTAGTTACAAACTTCATTTGTCAGTAACTAACCCTAAAGTATTGCAACACCATGGTTGCAAGCAAAGAGGCATGGCTTGTAGCTGCTGTAAATCTGAGCAAAAGGTGTGTGCCCTGGAAAAGACCTGTGTAATGGAGGATTACTGCAGGAAGCTAAAACACTTCTGCTTTGCCTCAGCTCTAATAGCAGCAAATGACTGACAGCATGCTTGCAGCTTGTGTTGTAAAAACAAGTAGTATCCCTGAAAACAGCTCACAAGTTCTCAGTAGTTAAAATAAACAAACTAGGATGGAGTTTGATACTCTCTTGCACTGGGAATTTTAGTGCTTAAATACATGTAATTCTTAGAACACTTCCTTTGCAGGAATATACACATTACGCCAGCTTACAAAGGTTCCAGAGTTCTGACCAAGCAAATGTTTCTGCTCTTCAAAACCAGAAAATCTTCTGATGAAAAATAATAGTGACAATTTCATATTTGTGTTCCATATTAGAGACATGAGTAGTGCCACATTTTTTTTTTCATTTAACAGCAAACAGCTGTTTTATTGCTAAAATTTATTAGACCTTTGTCAAACCATAATTTTTTATAATGTTAAAATTACATTATGGACTAGCTTTAACTTTTTGTGATCGAAATTGGAGGGTAGCAGTAAATCAAGAGTTAAATTTCTCTGCCTAGGAACACGTAATTCTGTTACTAAGTTGGCCTACTCATGCACTTGTTTGCTATATTTGTTATGTTTAAATTAAGCAACAGCATCTCCCAGAACTAACTTGGGCACATTAACAAAGTTTTAAAAAAATGAGCCTTGTAGATAAATGGGCTTTTGAGATACTGTAAGGGTAAGGAGAATATAGCTGAGTCATGACCATGTAAAATTGTTGAAGTTGAATATGAATTTGGCCTTTGAATATTGCATTGGCAGGACTGCATTTGCAGTGACGTGCATTCATAAGTCTCTTGTGCACTGACTAAGAGACAAACGTTGAAGGGGTATTCCCAAATGCTGTTGTTTTTTAATTAAGATCTAAGTTAGTCTGAATTTTTACTACCTTCTGATATGCTTCAGGATCTTCTCTTCAGGAAACCTGTGTACGTGTCAAGGTTGATGGTTCAGTGGGAATTTAGGTGTGGAGGCCTTTCCAAGGAAGGCATACTGCAACTACATGGTACAACTACAGTAGCTTCCTGTTTGTTAAACTGCTATTCCAGGAGCCGTGCAGTCTCCAAGTTTGAACAGCTGAGGGGGTGGGTGAGATAACGGGCAGAACAGAAGGGTGGTACTCAGATAAAGCTTAAGAACACAGTTACTTAGCAAGTCTTCTGTATTTGTTGTGTGTGTTAAGGATCTTCACTTTGGAGCTGGACCAATTCCAGTATATGGTATCTCTTTTTACTGAGAAGCAAACACCTTGGTCAGTTCTTCTACTTGTCCTCAATGTCTTAATTTACTTTAGAGCTGGAGTGTGGAGTCTTAAATTAGTTCTTCCAGTCTTTGGCAGGAATAGACAAAAACCTTTCACCTATCATTAGTGTTGAGTGAGAAAGGGGAAGAAGAGCAGCAGCTTATTTCCCAGATTGGGAGCGTTTCCTAACTGTGTCACATGTTTGTCTGGATATTGAACATAGTCTTATTTCTCATATCTAAAAGTGTATGGAAGTCAAGTGACTCCTGAAGGTGAGGCACATGCAGCCTTGTACAGATCTTCCTTGAAGAGGGTGCAGGATTAGCAATTGCATTGGCTGCACTGCTGCTGACCTTGCGAGTAAGGAAGACAATTTGTGCTAACCCCAGCATGAAACAGACCGAGCCAAGCGGAGTTGTATCAAGCAGTTTTGTTTGAAGCAGCATTCTCAATTTCTATTATGTGTGAGTATATACTAGAAAGCGGGAGCACAAGAAGGCACAATTTAAAGTTAGTTTAAACTTAGCAGAAGTATTCCGACACACTTTTTCTCTGTAGAGGTTTGTGCCTTACCACAACTTGCTTTTCAGTAAACATGTGAAATCAGTTATAAGCACCACTAACACTTCTGTAATGAAATAGGTTTTTTATTTTACATGAAGTATCCATGATGAGAGGAAAAATAGATACTTTGCCACCTATTAAAACCTCTAATGAAACCTATAGAAAAGTTCTAATTCATTAGGCCTAAAGGCTAGCATATTAAATAAATGCATTGTATCACTTCATATTGCAAACTAACTCCTAGTGTATTGTGGTCTTGATCCAGTGCTTAAATACAGTTTGGCCAATATGGGAACACTTGTAGCAGTTCCAGATCCTGTAGTCAGGTTGTGGTGCTGAATCCTAAGCCTAATCATCAAATTGCATGTCTTACATTCTTTTGCACTGTCTACATTGTAAGATTAGTGTGTGGGCATTTTTAGACTGGTCAATGGAAGTGTTTCACATAAGGTTTCTGAATGAAGTGCAGTAAAAACCTCTGAATATCCTGTGATAAAAGCATTATCCAGTTCCTGAGTGAATATGCCTAGCCATGCTTTTGGATTGTAAATATTTAAACTGTAACATTTAGTTTTTGCTGTGACATTTAATTAGAAATAGAGTTATGTTTCTCAGAACATAGAATTTATTTTAGTACAGGAACCCAAGTATGTTTGAAGCAGGCTTTTGTGGTTTCCTGTGTTCGAAATGTCTGCCTTAAATATGTAAGTATAAAAAGGCCTTGGGGACTGCATGAACTCCTTGAAACATACAGCTTGTGAAATTCTCTTATTAGAAAATCCATGCTATTGGATGGTTTAAGAGTGGGTACTTACTGAGACCTGAAATGGTGATGTAGTGGAGACTTGCTTTGTTGGCCTGCAGCCTTAGGGATGTGGCAATAAGTGGTAGCAGACTTAAGCAGCATGGGCTTTAAAGAAATTTGGTGTTAATCTGACTTGGTTGTTCTTTGCTGATTATTGCTTTCTCTATTGCTTGCATACTAAGGACAATAAAATAAGTCATAAGCTATCCCTTACACTGTTGCAACTTGCTGCTTAAATCAGGCTGGGTGAAAGAAGAACAGAAGTACATGAGTTGTCTTTCCAAGGTCACTCAAATTAGTCACGTGCAGTAGCAGTCACTTTGAGTTCTTACCCACACTTGTGAACACCAGTCTGAAACCAGTTCTGACTAACTTTTTCTTCTTGCCTAGTGTCAGATTTATTTCGTAACATCCTTTATAGGAGTTGGCTGATATGCAGCTTTTTTTTTTTAAAGGTATTTTCAAGAGGAATAATTCAAGATTGATGGATGAAATTTTAAAACAGCAGCAAGAACTCTTGGGACTAGATTGCTCCAAGTATTCCGTGGAATTTGCAAATCACGACAAAACTGGTCAAGGTAAGATCAACTACAAGAGAGGCTTGGTATGCCTCTAAATAGCTGTATATCAATCATAAATCTGCTTTTACTTAAACACCTTTCTATGTAGAGTAGCCTTTTTCTTCATGTATGTGCTTCCATCTTTCCAAATATACACCTCAAAGTGGAGAGGAGAAAGGGAAAGAGCAAGACTGCTGGTTGTCATGGCAAGGTATAACGCCATCAGGAAGGTAAAGGGCACAAGTTAAAAAAATAAATGTGATAATAGCTTTTGCACATAGTTAGATGTCAAAGGCAGGAGTAGGTAGCAGCATCTGCTATAAGAACTCATTTACTCATCTGTTCCCTTTAGATGTCAAAGGCAGGACATCTGTCAAAGGTAGCAGCATCTGCTATAAGAACTCATTTACTCATCTGTTCCCTAAGACAAATGCTAGAAGTCTGTTCAAATATAATAAATCACAGGCACGTACTTGAATCAGACCTTTTTCTTAGAGAGATGGGCTGATACAGCTCTTCTAACTACAACTCATAATATTAAAGTAGTTCATTGTAAAAAAATCCCTAAACAGCCCTTATGCTTTAAGATCATCACAGTTCAAAGACTTATGAAAAGTCTGCACAAGTTGTGGTGCATTTAGCTGTGTTGAAAATGCTGCTTGCAAGTTTTGCCTCCCCTATGAGAGCAGACCGAATACCAAAATCCTTTGTGCCAGTTTTCCAGTACAAAGTATAATATTGTAACATGAACTTGTCTTATGAACAGCTAAGCCTAAGATGCTTGCATTTATATGAAGAACTCAGATTTCATGCTATTTTTTTTTTCCTTCCTGTGAAGGTTGAAATAATCAGCAGAATATGGGTAGACAGCCTATTAATGTCTTAAACTCCAGCATACTTAGCTATGCTTACCTAAGTTGAGATATTTATGTTCACACCAAACAAACTACTGAAAGACTTCTCAGACTTGCTGATGGGAAGAGTGCATTTAAATCTCAGGAACCTTTTGTGCTGGAAACTGTGAAAAGCAGAGGTGTTTTCTATTCTGTTTTTAAATTCTTCATTCTTTTTTAGGAGGCTTCACAGTCAGATCAGATGCTTCATGTTTGCAACTGAACAAACTGACATCTATGCAGTTTATTATTATCTGCAGTTTTTCACTTCTGAATAACAAAATTGCATGTGTTGCAATTTAAGGATACTGTTAAATATTTTTTAATGTAGGACATTTGATGCAAATTTGCAAATCCAGCAATATTAAGGAACAATCATTTTCATTGTGGTGGCTTTGGATAGATGAACTGAGGGGTTTTAGGTGTTCTTATGAAGCATGACTGTGCTGTGTGGTCCTTTGCAGTCAGGTTCTGTTTTAAGAAACATATTTTTAACTGTCTGGTTATAACTATCCTAAGTTTGGTACCAGCCTGAAATGTTGACACTTTAGTATTTAACCCACTTAACTTCAAGCCAGTATAGTGACCATCTCTGGCCTTCAGCTTCTTTGGCAAGTTTAACTCATAGGTGCCTTACCAGTACTGACAATGATGCAAGTCATGTAGTATGAGAAGACTCTTGCCTCTCAATAGTGTGGGTTTAAGATAATTACTGTTGTGAAATGTCCTCTTAAGTCATGGACATAATTGCAGGTGAATAGATGAATTCTGAACTATTATCTTGTTCCAAGCTTCAGTGTAGCAATCTTAGATCCTTACTGTAACTCTTGCATCAAGATGCTGTGATCAGATTGAGGGAGGCCCCCAAGGGTAATAATTATGTCACATGAATGTACACAGTAGCTGTCAAAAACACCTTCCTCTTCTAGGGTAGAAATTAGTTTGTTGCTTTTTTTGTTTTGTTTTGTTTTTAATTTCCCTGAACCCCTTAAATTACTATCCAGCTACCTTTCTTCTCAGTGCTTTGCCTGACAGCATAAGATCCAATCCAAATTTCCTGGAAAGCTACATTTGAAGACTGAATTAAGCCCCTTCTCAAAGTAGTTGTCTTAAGCTTGTGTTTTAGTAATACAGCAAATCCAGAAAACTGTTACCCACTTCTCTAAGAGATAGGTGAGGTGTATCTGTGACTAGTTATAATACAGGAATTAAACTACAAGTTACTTTCTGCTGTATCTGTGACTATCTAAAGCACATGCAAAACAATTATATTTCTGTTGCTTTTAAACTATGTTTTGTACTTTCAGTTTTAAATTGCCAATCTACATTGAAGGTGCTGTCTCCGGAAGATGGAAAAGCAGACATAGTCAAAGCTGCTCAGAACTTCTGTCAGTTGGTAGCACAGCAGCAAAGAACACATTCAGACCTGGATGTGAATATGTTAGACAACTTATTAAGTAGTAAGTATAATATGGAGGGGAAAGAGTACTCAATTCATAACAGTTTGGTTCCTAGTGTGTTCTTTGCTTGGATTGTATGCATCTTGATGCTTGGTCTATAAGAGTAAGCTATGATTATTGCTTTTAGGCTTCTGCTAAAAATTTCTCTTTTTATTGCCTTTTGAGCCATTTTTTTAAGCAGAAAAATTATTTAGCAGAAATATTAAGGTAAATTGCAGAGTTTTGGCTTTTCAGAGTTTACAGTACCTGTGGTATGTTCTGCAATGAGCTTTCTGAAAAAACTACTTTTGGGATTGCCTAAAACTAGACTATTCTAATTTAGGTTAACTTCCTGCATGTTGCAAGCTGCAAATATGGATGGGCAGAGTCTTTTCCAGATCTGGTTACAGCGATTAAAGCTGTTCTTGCTGTCTGACTACTACCCTGAATGCCAATGATAGAGCTCTTGCTGCTCTATAACCCACAGTAGCTTAGTTGTCTTCATTACTAATTCATGCAGATTACTGACTCTGCACTGTGATGTGTGGCTACATGCAATAGCTATGGAAAGGGCAGGACTGCCCTAATATCACACCTGGGAGAAGAAGTTTAGAATTAGCATCCACTTTTCCAGTGGTACTATGGAGCGATAATGAGTTGCTCAGCTCGCTTAGGTGATCCATGCATGTTAATTGCAGCTGTAATTAGCTTGGTAGGGTTCAGGTTTCAGATTGCACACTTGAACTTGGATGCCTTTGGCCATGTTGTTGTAGTGTGATTCCCATTAATGGGACTTCAGAGAGTGATTTCTTCTTTTTCATGTGGGTGATCAGCTGAATTGTTCTGCAGACAGACTTCCATGGCGGTTTGGCCACTTCAAACTGAATTCCGTCCCTGTTGTCAGCATCCTCCTATAGTGGAACTATTAAATGTATTTAATAAGGCACCTGAAAAAGAACTTAGGACATCTCTTCTGTTATACCACAAAGGCAATTAAAGGAAATTAATAATCACTCCTTCAGAACAGTTACTAATATAATGGAGAACCAGTGACAATTGTTACCTGTTGTGTGTATTTTGGCCAGTGATACTTAACTGGAGCTTTTCAAACTTGTTAGTGATGTTCTGTCTGGATATATTAAAAGTATTAGGCCCAATCTTTTTATTTTTGAGTTATTGCATGCTAGCTCAGCACAGAAAGAGAAATCTAATCTGTCAAAACTATGAAATTTGAAACACACCGCTTCATGTACGTGGCTAATAATTAAGGATAATACCTGTAACTGGTCCTTATTAATTTGTTTACTTAATGTTTGGGACATTGTTGGAAGTGAAGTATTCTTTCATTACTTATTTAGCAGCAGCTTTTTAAACTTTGTTTTACTTGTAGGCAAATTTAGTTTGTGTGCATTTTGAATGGAACAGTATTGAAAGTAAGCATCTGTGCTTTACTGATTTGAGAGCATGTTCTGGAAAGCAATATTTGAATAGTTATATTATTAGAGTTTGCATTAATTGTGTCTTCTGTAAATCTTTGGGGGTTTACGTTTTGATTTAAATACCTGTTAATTTAGTTTTTAAACTTTTTGTTCATGTTTAGGGTGCAGTTATTGAAGCCTAGTCCTAAAATGGTATGATTCTAGCTTGTCATGTGGCTTTTCTTAATTCAGTCATGCACTTAATTCTTACAGCTTGAGTTTTCTGCAGTGTAAGAGCACTTTCTTTGAGCAATGCCTCATCTAACCAGCTTGTTTTCAGAAAAGTAGGTGCCAGCTGCCTTTTAATATTCTCTGCTTGCTGTCTGTTTGCCTTCCAGCAAAGAACATGACTATCAATTTAAGGCTACTCAAGCTGCCCTGTAAGATCTGTGTGGAGAAGGGTAGAGTTATCAGCTCTAAAATTCCTTCATGTTCCCCTTGCAGAACCCCTGACCAGATTGCCATCCTTTGAGTGTGCAAGTCTTTTGGCCTCTTTTGTTCTTTAAAGTTTGCTCCCAAATCCTTGTATCTCCTGTGTGCTAAACTTGACTGCTGTATCTCTAGCAGCTCTCAGGGAGCTTCCACATGTAAATTATCTGTAGCACTGCTGTTTAGGTAGAGAAATGGATGCAGAGTGGAAAGCACATACTGTGTTTTTAGTAGGCTGTTGTGACAGTAATACTAGTGTGCATTTTCATTTTCCTTCAGATAGGAACCAGAAGGAAATGTTAGCATTAACTGGGCTCTGTGAAGGTCTTGTCCTGTTTGAAAAGCCGTTGCAGTGTTGAAGATCCTGCTGCTGTACCAGCTGAGGAGTACTCAGCTACTGAATCAGCTGATGAGTAAAGTTGTCCACTTCCTCCAGAGTCCCCACTTCTGAGTATTCACTGCTTCCCTGCAAAGCTCTTGGATACTGACGTGCTAGCTTCTGAACACCAAAGTGGCTTTTGCTTTGCAATTTTTTTCTTAACTTTGAGATGAGATTTGGACTGTGACACAAGACACTCCTATCTAAAACTTTATCCCTCCTTAGAAATGCACATGCTTGGGGAGAACAGCTTATTTACATCTGGTAAAAGGTATCATCACTATTGTGGTGATTCAATGGGGAGGGAGGATGTGAACTTTTAAAAAAAATCTCTAGCTTCAGTTTCAAAACCTGGGTGGAGCAAAATCTGGCTTTAGTTTCCTTTTCTGTTACTCCCAAAGTTAAGTTCTTCTACAACTAATCTGAAAACTGTAAAAGGCTCTTGACTGCTTTTTTGGAGTGGTTTTTTTTTTTTGTAAATTATTTTATTTAAGTAAACAAGGAAAGAATTGAGAAATAATATTGATGTTTGGAGCAAGTAGGTTGTATTAAACTTTATCTGCTAAAGGTAGTCGTTACCTAGTATAAACATTCCTGCACTTAACCTGCAGAATTGGTGGATAGTGGAAGGGGTGACAACAAATTACCTGCAATAATCATGACTAATTGCAGCATTGTAGCAAAATAGGGTTATGACTGCTGGAATGCTTTTCAGATGAGCTAGGTAGGTGCAAGAGGAGCAGTTCAGCTTCTTGGGCCCCCTTGGGGTGCTCTACTGGTGCTCTACATGTTGCTCTAATCAACTTGCTAGAATTAGCAGGGAAAGCTGGACTCAGACTGCTCATTCTAAGCCTATTTCCTGTCTGTCAATTTTAGCCTGGAGTAGCTTAGGCACTGCAGAAGTATATGGAAGGGAGACAGAGGCAGTGGTGTTTGATCACTAATTGTCTTCAGCCTCAGAACATGGGCAGGATGTTCTCATGAAGGAAGTGACTGGCTGGGGTTTTAAGGTATGGGTAGTAAGAGTGTGGGCACTTAGTGGAATTCATCAATATTATCTTGCTCTGCCCTAGAATGGGTCAGGTTGTCCACACAGTAACAGAAAAAGACACACTGCCCTGTTCTTCCTCACTCATCTAACCAGAAAGATGCCAGCTGCAGCAGTGTCTTTGAAATTTTACAGTAAGTTGATTTTAAAATTTCTGTCTGGTCTCATGCTGAGAAAGAGACATGTCATCTAACAAGTTGGGTTTGTTTTTTTTTTTCCTTCATGGTCTGTGGTACCAAGGTGTTCTTCAGTGAAACTTCCTTAAGCTTTTTTATGTGTCCTTTCCCTCTACTTGATTGCAGCTCTCCATAGTTAAGGACTATAGTAGAGTCAGGGTACAGCATGTTCTGTGCTACTAAAATTGAGTTTGCCAAGACAAAACTAGAACAAGTCAGATGAAACAGCATTGTTAGGGTTTACTGTTACTCAAAACAATGTAACTGTTCCTGTAATTTCCATAGAAAGTCTTTGAAAACTACCTGACAAAATTAACAGTCCAGCTGGGCCTGCAGTGGCTGCATAAGCTTTTGCTCAGTTGGTCATTCAGGTGTTGCAAGACCAGTCTGTCCTCTTGGGCTTTTAATTGTTAACTTGGGACCTTCATTTAAAACAAAACAAAAAAAAGGCATTTAGTGAAAAAGCAGATGCCTTAGGGTTTAGAACTAAAACAAATTCTATGATGAATTTAATAAAATCTAATGTAACTTGTTATTACAGGTTCAAATGGATTTCCTGATCCTGATTTAGTCTTGAAGTTTGGTCCTGTGGACAGCACATTAGGATTCCTTCCATGGCACATCAGACTGACAGAAATCATGTGAGTTCCTTATAAATGTTGTGAAACACACTAGAATGAAAAATACCTACCTAAACAAGTCTTTATGATGTAACTTAGGGAACTGGCCAAAAGAGGAGATCCAGCTAAACAAGTGTCTGGAGATTGATTTGAGGATATTTTAAAATTATTAAATGAAACTGTCAAACATTCATTGTTGTTTTTTAGTAATACTGACAAGGCAACAGCAGGCTTCATGCCTCAGGTTGAAGGAACAACTTCTGTCACCAGCTAGTGTGTGGTCCAGTCCCATTTGACAGTATTTCTTACATCAGTGTTGATTTTCTGTGGCTTATAGGTTTCTCACAGGGAAACTAAGGATACAAGGGAAATGGAATAATACAAGAAGGTCACACCTATGGATTACTTTTCAATTTTAAAAGTAACTGAACTTCTTAACTCCGAGAGCATTTATAGCACACTGAAACCTGTGGACACACTGTGCTGCTCCAGCTTTTCACTGATTTGAAGGGCCCTGTGTACTCTAATGGGAGGCTTTGGTTTAGAGTGACTGGGTGTTTAGGGGTGTTTAGTTGTTAGAGGTGAGTGACAACAACCATGTTGAGAACAACTTCATAAGGTGACTCAGACAGTAGCTTGCTTTTAGTGATATTCCTGAGTGGCTGTATGAATAGTGCGGTGTTTATAAAAGCTTATTTTAATGATTCTAACTTGCTTTCTCAGTTCTTTGCCTTCCCACCTAAACATCAGCTATGAAGACTTTTTCTCTGCCCTCCATCACTATGCAGCCTGTGAGCAACGCTGGGGAAAGTGACTTCAGGCTGAGTGCATGGAGTCAAGCTTTCTGTGTGAAGGAACTGAAGTCTGTTTACAAGCACCTGCTACCCATAAGTCTGGTTCATAGTCCTTTCTTAATTTATCAAAAAAATTCAATAAAGTGTCTTACCTTTCTAGAGAGTCTGTGTGAATGTGTGAGAATCTATGGGGAGGGGAGTTCACAGATTTCCTGTTTGAAAAAGACAGTTACTAAAAACAAAGTTGAATTGCCCTCACTTTGACATTCAAGTGTCAAAATGAACATGCAAGAATTAAGTGTTGTGAATTCTACAGGACAATGTAAATAGGAGTCCATGCCCTGAAGATCCTTAAAACCAAGAAAGAACTCCCATCTTTGTTTCTTAATTCTTCATGGTCAGGCATTTCAGAGCAATGGTTTATCTTCAGATATATTTACTATGTAATATGTGAATTCTAGAGAAGTTGGGTTTGTTAACTGAAAATAGAGACTGCAGCTTGGCTGGGATGACTAAGCCAGCTGTAGGTGTTAAGTTCTAGAAATACTGAGAAGATTCCATAAAAAGGGGTGGATGCTTCCATGGTAAGTGGATTAGGCACTCTGTGTTGCAGCATCCAGCTTTTTTTTAAGTGGTGGAATGGAAGTATTCCTATAGCCCTGAGTGAATGCAACATCTCAGTCAGTTTTCCATTGGGAATAAGCATAAACAGTACTATGTATTGTTTGTATACCTGTTCTCCCTATAACATGCTAACTCAAGGTAACAAGCAGGAAAAGCCTCTGGCATCATTTGCTGAAAGATTTGAAAAAGGTCTGAGTCATCTTCATGGCTAAATGTGATTTGCTGCTTGTACTTGTGTGCCCAGCCAGGGAGTCTGCTTAAGCCTTTTTTTATTTTTATTTGTTCTGAACTGAGCATTAGAAGTTTGAATGGAAGAAAGCGGACAAAGAAGGAAGATGAAGTGAAGCTGCCCTACAGTATTTCAGCACTGTGATAACTGAGAGATGCTAAATGGTCTTCATCGTGGAATGGCCTGTTGGAGTTACATTCCTGTTTTGCAAGTAGTTTAAAATTGCAAGTTTATGGCTGCATTTGGGCAAAGCAATATCTTTAGATCTGTATTACTGGAGTCAAACATTGATACTGCAGCCTTCTGCCCTGCAGGCTGCAGAACTGTTGTATGCTTCATTCTGGAAGTGTTTCCTGTTTCCCTCTCCCCCCACTCTTCAAACTGAGCCTGGCTTTATCTCCTTTGGGATAGCCATGTCACTAGAAGGGAAGACAACTGTTTTTAAAAGGGAATTGCCAGATTTTAAGCTAATATCTGCCTCATTGTGAAATGGTGTATTTTAACTTGTTGCTTGGTGTAATGTTATAAAGCAGATTGCATAAACTCTTAGCTGTGTGTTTTTCATCATCCTAAGGTTAGATTGCAGTTACAGAAAGACTGTGGTCACTTTATCTCAGAAAAGAGCAAGAGATATTCAATAAATTAACTAAGGGTTTTGACATAAAATAGCTTTCCATAGGAGCTGGAATATTTTGAGTACACTTTGTCAGCTGGTTGCCTGTGTGTGCCAGGTCCTGTATTGCAGAGAAGGTGAACAGTTGTGCAATGTTTCCTCAGCCCTGTCATGGACATGGGCAAATTTTCCCACTGAGTGTTAAGTTCAACTTTTTTGTGGGAAGTGGGTAGCCTGTTGAAGGGTTTGATGTTCATCTGTAATATGAATTTTGTTTCATTAAAATGCAAGGTTGTGTTTGTGTTACGGTATGTGTTACTGTGTCACTGAAGCAGTTCTGGTGCTGGCAGTAGTGGGAAAAGCTTAGTTTAGCCCTCAAAAATAATGTATTTTTTATATTTGTATCAAACTGCCAAAGAATACTTCTCATACCTGAGTTCCCTCAGTCCTCAAACTTCTGCATCTCAGCTAAATAGATGTGTTTAATATTGGAGACAGATCTCAAGACCTAGAATTTGTCTACAGAGGGTTGTTTAATAAAACTAAAATGATTAGTTCAGCTGCATTTGATTCAACTTAAATCTCTTCTGATGGCCAGTTTAATTGTGAATTAAGTGTTCCTCCTGGAATTAATGTAGTTGAACTAATCCATGTTATCACTTAGTTGGGATTATTTTACTGTCCCTGTGTGGGCAATCTTCAGTGAGGTGTGCCAAAAGCACTGTGCATATCCACGACTTGATCTCTGAATGTACGTCCTTGCCCTTAGCGCCTCTGCCCAGCTTGTTCTGTGTGAAGGTCTGTGCTATCGCTGTGACATGTTTGGGTACCTGTACATAATGTGTAAAATGAGTTTTTATGATTAGGGAATCGATTTATTGAACTTTATTATCGAAAGCTGAATCTGTAAAACAATAAATCAATAAAAGACTATAATCTTTCTACAGGCTATGGTGATACATGAATACTTTTGGAAGTTCAGCTGGGGCGCTGTAGCCTGATTTGTGCTACTACATCATTCTGGGGAAGTAGAGAACTTCAAATGTTGTGTTCCTTTATGCTCTTCTTTAATTGCTTTCTGTAGTGCAAGAACTGGGCAAATTTTTCATCTGCCACTTCCAACTTCTTAGATGCTTTTATTAAAGCTTTCATAGTAAAGCATTTACTGTAGAAATATTTCTCTGATAGTCCTGGGAACTTGCTAAGCTTGTTCCTGGCTACTAAAAAGCCTGGTTTCTCTCCCTGCTGCTGAGTCAGTCCATGGGCTGTGCTGGGCCTCCTGCCAGCCCTGTTGTGGAGCAGGGTGAAGTGAGGGTGTGGTGTGGAAGAAGCCTCTGCAATCTGAGTGATTTCCATGCTGAGCAAGAATGGGGAAGCTTGTGTTAAGGTGAGTTTTAAAAATGTACTGGGAATCGAGGTGACCTTGAGCCAGCCTACAGCAAAGGCCAGCAGTCTCCCAGGCTGTGTTAGGAGCTGTGTTGGTGGCACATCAGGAGTGATGATTTCCGCAGATCTGGTGAGACATCTGGAGTGCTGCGTTCAGAGCTGGGCTTCCTTGGGACAAGAGAGACACAGATTTAATGAACCTAGGCCACCAAAAGGCTGTGATGATAGGAAGTGGAGCATCTGTTGCACAAAGAGAGGTTGAGAATTGGAACTGCTCAACTTGGAGGATGCTGAGGAGGGACCTTACCAACACATAAATGCATGATGGAAGAGGGAGTAAACCCAGCCAGGCTCTTTCTGGTGCTGCTTAGTGGCAAGCTGAAAGGCAATGGGCATAAATCGAAATACAGGAGGATGTTGAAACATCAAGAAAACCTTTTCCTGTGAGTGTGGTAAGACAGTGGAGCAGGTTGCCCCTAGAGGCTGTGGAGTCTCCTTCAAAATCAGTATGTGTGCATGGGGATGAGCGTAGGACTAGATCACCTCCAGATGCCTTCCGGCCTCAGCTGGAGCTGGCTGTGCAGCAGTGTTAGGTGTGGTGCTGCTGGGCTCTCCTACCTCAGCTGGTTTTTAATAGTCAGCAATGGAGGCTTGCTGCAGTTAATTTGCCATTTCAATAGCAAAGAATATTAGAACTTTCTGTGTGGTGGAAAATTCTTCAATTGCACCAGTGTGAGACCTCCCCTTCAGAATAACTGCTTCTCATCAACAAATTATTCATGTTTCTGTAGATTTCCTCTTTTTTTCCTCTTTCAGTGGTGCCTGGTAGTTGATCTGGTAAAGGAGTTAGATAAGATTCTGAAATAGTGCTTTACAGCAGGGAATTTGAGGACATGGACAATAATCCAGCTGTTACAGAAAATAGTCCTACAAAACAGTTCTTGAAATTATAGTGCTTTTTAGGACTTCTTGTATGAACATGCACTAAGCAACTGTACAGCATAGCATGGTGCACTGAGCTGAAGATTGAAGTGAGTAAAAGGTAAAGTAAAGGTCATTCTTTATAGAAGAGAGTATGCTCTTACACATTTGCACATCTGTAAGTGTTCCTAAAGCACTTCCCAAAAATGACAAGAAAATAGAACCTGCTGGTTTGATTTCCTGTGTATTTCATGAATTCAGCTTTTGTGTGAAATCATAACTGCCCTGAATAGTTCCATATGTTTAAGACAATGACATCTTTTTGTCTTTACTGTTGAAATAATGTTTCACTATTATTTGCACTTATTCACTGGTTCTGAGAGACAGGTATACCTATAAAATCAGAGGGTAGGTGCAGGCAGTTTTGGTCTTTGCTGATCCCGAGGTACCAGCTGCCTTGCAGGTAGGCTTTGTCCTGCATTGCTGGACTGTGCTGCCCAGCCAGTGCTTGTGCAGGGAGCCCTGGGGACACAGGGACAGGTGCTCTGCTTCATGCTGGTTTCCATGCTGTCATCTTCCCTGGGGGCACAGACCCCCTCAGTCATCTGCTTCTTGGAAAGATGTTCTCTTTGCTGCTGCCAAGCACTTAATGCGACAATGGCAGCTTCAGCTCAGGGGCGAGGAAGGGACTGGAGAATAAGGCTGAGTTGTCACCCATCCTGTGCAAAACCTTCTAACCAGTCTTGCTGTGAAGGTTACTATTTGTCCATTTTTCAGCACACCGTGGGTGAGTGTAAACAACTGCTAACTGTCTTCTATGAGCTAAGCTACTTTGATAAGCTTGAAATGTTCAAGCAAATGAATCAAAGGCCATGCTTTAAAGCCCACAACGTTTTTTCCCTCAGATCTGCCAAATTAAAAGGGAGAGAGACTTGCAAGCCCTTCCTCTGCTGTATGTTTGTCTCTGTTAAATGATGTGAGACCTCCTTGAATTCCATTGAATCACTGCTGAGAGCTGTAGGATTATTCCCTAATTGCATCCTAAACAACTTTTTTAGATGATAAATAATATCATGTATTATACAGAAGCATGCCTCAACCTAAACTTTGAAGTGCTTCAGAAATTAATGTTTAATGAAACTGTTCGCCTGGAGGTTTTTGCTGTACGATGTAACTGGCTGAATACACACAAGCCAGGGCTCTTTCATCTCCCTGACAAGTCTTACTGCTTTAATATAGCATATTTTCTCCAACTGTGTGCAGTCAGTCAGTTCTCAGTTTTCTACACATCTCCCTGGCCTGCAAAAACACTACCTTGTCCCCCCCAAAACGCCCACTCATAGCAGGAGACCCTAATGGATGGATTATATACTAAACACACTT